ATAGAAAGTGTTAAAATATCCTTAGATAAATACCCTGGGTTGTCTATGTTAAAAAAATAAATATGTACATATGGGGTGTTTTTCTGAGATTTATGACAGATAACATTGTCCTACCTGTACTTACAGCCAAAAAACTTGCACACAAAAAAGCAAAAAAGCATTTAAACACTGGGTTTGAACTCAGGACAAAATGTTGAATCTATTTTGCAGTTTTTTTCATTAGCTTTTGTAGATGAGTAAAAGATTTTTCAAGTAAAAGTCAAAAAACATGTATTTTTTTCAATTGTTCATCATATTTTTTAATTTTTTTAATATTAAATTACATGAGATTATATAAATAATGGTATGTAAAGAAAGCCCCTTTTGTCCTGAGAAAAACAATATATAACTTGTAAGGGGACAGTAAATGAGAGAGCGGAAAATTACAGCTAAACACCACAAAAGTGTAAAAAGAGGCCTGGTCCTTAACGTACAACATAGCCTTGGAAGTCCATAGGAATTTTGTGATGTTGTTCATTTTTCTGTTTTGGAAACAGATGCATACAGAGCGGTCCCATACAATCCATGAATGCATACTGTGTGTGTGGGAAGCACACCTTTGGCAGGTATATCTTTCAATCCATGAACTTGCTGCCAATTTCACCATTGCAATATATAGATAATATCTATATTTCAACTTCACATTTCTATAACTTGTGGTTCACGTTAATATTTTATAGATTCTCCGTATTTTTTATTTATTTATTAATTTATTTATTTGCAACTCTTTACTCTGCCATGCTTAACCCTATCGCCATCAAATACTATTTACCAGCATGCCTCTTCTTCCCCATGCATAATGCAGTAGCAAGGTTAATTCCCCAGGTTTCTGCATAAATAATGTTATATGTATGTTAGAGGCATTTCTATAAATGATTATGCGGAAAAAAAATAGCATATTCTAGCTATTTTTGGAATAATGAGCTAAGACCTTTTAGAAAATGGTAAATTCAACTTGATACATGATGAAAGTTTGACATTAGAAAATACTATGTGAATCACACCGAGAAATAAGTACTCATCATTTAAATCAACCGGATGCCATAATTCAGGTATGTTTTCAAAGACGAGCATACTAAAGTACAGGTATTTGATGACCTTGCACAATCCGTAACATAAATTAAAGTGTAATAGTGTGGAAAAATTGTAATATGCATTTGAGACAATGTCTACTTCTTGGTGTTAATTAAATTTTGTAACTCGGGAGGAATATAACAGATCTAGAACGTACGAATCTGAAATAGGTGATCCGTTTGACTGTACAGTAAAGGACAGCTGCGTTAATCATTTGTGCTCTTTATGATATTAATAGACTGTGTTTGATAAATATAGCCCTCAAACTGTACTATGTCTTCAAAGTGGTGGAACTGCCTCTCTTAAAGTGACAGTCCAATTCTCTGAACATCTTTAATGCATGGTCGGGTGTCTTGTTAATAGCTTACATAATTATATTTTCATCATTCTTACTTGCTGAATACATGGCTTACTTCTCAGAGTAGGAATGTAGTTGAATTTTTAAAATTACACAGACATTTAGCTATAGCGATAACTGATTGATTTTGATTCACTTTGCTTGTGCTTCAGCAATTATTGAGGCATAGTTACCTGAAATTTCTATTAACATACATTTAATACATTAATGGAAATAAAATAATAATAATTAGGGATGTGCATGGGCAAAAAATTTGGTTTGATTCAGAAATTTGGGTAAGTAAAAAAATGTGCCTGCTTCTGCAAATTTGACCAATGGCATTTGGTTCAGTTCTGCACTTCGGAACTGCCGAACGTTGTCATTTTAGAACTTCGGCGATTCAGAACTTCGGCACTTCAGACATTCGTAAGCATCCGAATGGCATGAAATTCATATGAATTTACATTCTGAACTAAACAAATTGCATATGTCTATTGCTCATTTCAATAGACAGGGAATAGTGAAACTGGATTGGGCAAGCAAGCATTACATTGCACAAAAGGAATTAGTTTATTGGTCAAGATTCCTGTCATCATTCATGTAATTTTCCCTCCCTCTTTCTCGTTTTACCACTTTTCAGAAATCCAAATTACTTCAGCACTCTGGCACTTCAGAGCTTCAGCACTTCGGCGCTTCGGACCTTTGGCACTTCGGCACTTCCGAACTACCGAACTTCATTACTTCGGAACTTCAGCACTTGGGGACTTCGGCACTTTGGACATTCGTAAGCATCCTAATGTCCGAATGGCATGAAATTCGTACGAATGTACATTCGGAACGAAACAAATTGCACATGTCTAATAATAATTTTATATAAGTGAGCTATAACACGTTTACCTGGAACTACCACTTGAAAGTCTGTCATTTTTCCAGTGCGTAGGTGAACATCTTAAAATGGCATCACAATTTTCAAACCCTGAATGATTGCTACTAATTAAACAGAAAGGCACATTCTATATAATATAAGAGTACTTTCTACATAATGATTTAAAATGTTATATAATGGTGCCAGTGACAATGCCATTTAAATTTTAAAGTTATTTTGCGGGTGCATTGTTACAGTGTTACATAGGAATATGGATTTAAAAAAATGACAAGTCCATCAGATTTAACCTTTCAAACATTTCTGCTTCTTTTGTTGAGCCAAAAAAGGCAACTTTTAAGGGATTTTCAATTGTGTCACAAAATGGGCAAAACAAGTTTGCTCCATTAGTGACAATCAGATTTATTTTGAATCGTGAAATATCTTACCCTGCATTTTAAAGTCACCAAAAAACCTTAGCTTAATAAAGCAGTTTTGGTGTATAGATCATGCTCCTGCATTGTCACTGCTGCATTGTCTGCCATTTAGGAGTTAAATCACATTGTTTATGCAGCCCCAGTCAAACTTCCTTGCATGTGAATTACACAGCCTTCCTAAACACTTCCTGTACAGTGAGATCAAATGTTTAAACTTTATTGCACAGTCTGTTTAATTTTGACTTTCTTATCTCCTGCATTGTTAATAGCTTGCTGGACCTTGCAAGAACCTCCTGTGTTTGATGAAAGTTCAATTTACAGAGCAAGAGATATAAACTTCTACAGTTAACATTTGATTAAAAATTAAACTTTTTTTTTTTAAATTTAGGCTGTGTCAATCACAGCCAGGGGAGGTGTAGCAAGGGCTGCATAAACAGAAACAAAATGGCTGAGAATTGAACAGTGAGACTTCGTGAGTATGATCTATGCACTAAAACTGCTTCATTAAGCTAAAGTTGTTTTGGTGACTATAGTGTTAACTTGTGTTATTTTTCAATTTTCTGCTTATCCATAAATCCACACAGATCCTTTATTAGAAATGTATACATAATCTAATAGATCAATCTCGTTAGGTAGGAAATGTTACATGTATTTATTATTCATACTACAAAGAACATTAGAAGAGCTCTAGGACAAATCTCCTTTTTTCAAGTCGCATTGGATGGCCTCCTGTTCTTTGTACAGTCCTGTTAACAAACAGGTTATCAGAGGTCTTTACTGGCCTTGGGTATATCAGTATATTTGCAAGCAGACTGCTTTAATTGAATTTCTAAAACATGAATCTCTGTGCTATCTAAACATATCTTAGTGATCCTAGACTATCTGCCATGATGTATATATCTGTCATCAAAAAATCTATGTGACCTAAGAACTAGCTGACAAAACCGCAAGTTTCAGAAGTAGATTTGTTTAGTGTTCAAAGATAATAGCACCAAATAGCTATCCAATTAACTTGCAATATCTGCAGCGCTGAAGGTGAATTAAAAGCTCATGAATAAAAAGTCCGACTTTGATTTTCTTTAAATGCTCATTATAAACAATAATTTTGCTTCCATTTAAAACTGCCATTCAACCACAATAATGAGTAAATAAAAAATATCGGCTGCTCCTTTGTTTGCGATATACACTTGGTGGGTTTTCATTATTCTTTCGCAAAACTGACAAATTGCTACATATTTTCAATTTTCTCAGCATAACCAACAATGACAAGACAATCCCCAAACACAATTAAGCTACTTATAAATGATCTGCTTAATATTTTGTGATATATACACAGAAGCCATTCACTACAGAATACAGTTTAAAAGAAGTAAGCTGCGATTCATATATTAACAAAAATACATATTAACAACTCACATCTCATGTCCTCCATTCATCTAAACGAGAGAAATACATGAAAGAATATGTATTTTTGTCTTTATAAGATGGTCTTTAAAGGGAGACTACAGCTCAATGCAGTGGTTCTGGTGTCTATAGCCTGTCCCTGTAGGCTGAGCACTGTACATGCTGCTTTTTCAGAGAAAAGGCAGTGTTAACATTACAGCCTAGGAACACCTCTAGTGGTCACTCCTCACACAATGAGCTGCACAGTGTGCAGCAATGACATCCAGCATCTCCACACTCTGCATAGAGAAACTGAACTGTCCCCATAGAAATGCATTGATTCAATACATCTCTATGAGAAGATGCTGATTGGCCAGGGTGGTGTTTGGCTCCGCCCTTCCATTGACTGAGATCATCATAATTTCTATGGGAAAGCATTGTAATTGGCTGAGATAATCAATTTTGATGATGTTAGCCAAGGAGGCAGATCGGGGTGGGACTCAAAAGGTGAGTAAATTATCTTTTTAACCCACGATAGGGGGTGACCATCTAAACAGTTGTTTTAGAACTGGCGCCTGCCTCTCCTTTCCTCCTCCTTGTTCCGCTGTTCAGCGTCGGGTTCAGCAAGGAGACCACAGCGGCAAGATGGAGGCACGGGAGGAGGGCTCGAGGGCTGGCCAGTAACTAACAGGGCAGGATCTGTGGCATGGCGCAGAGTCCCTGATCTTCTTAAATAGCTCCATCTGCAAGGGGGTGGAGGCCATGACTGACTTCCCCTATAAATAGTCAAGCACTGAACTTGATTGTGCTTGGTTGTTCTGGCGCTTGCTCCCAGTCTACTGGCATTCTTGGCTCCTGGCCCTTGTACCTGATCCTGGTCCTTGTTTCTAGTCCTTGTTCTTGATCCTGGTCCTTGTTCCTGTTCCGTGTTCCCGGTTTCTGGATCTGATTTCTGGTTCTTGATTCCCGGTAATACTTCTCGACTTTTGACCTTTGACTTTGATCCTGACTTTGGTTCTTGTCTCTGATTCTTGGCTTCTGATGTCTTGCTCTCTATTCCTGGATCTCCCGGCTTCTGACCATCGGCCTGACTCTTTACCTCACTCCTTTGCTGCCAATTGTGACCATCGGACCACCTGGCACCACTTCCAGCCTGCTCCTTTCTGGCTTCTTTGCTTCCTCTGTAAATAAAGGCACTCATGCCCTCATAGACCTCCCAGGTTCCCATATGACTCTCAGTCACTTGGGAAGGTTTGCAAGGCGTTGCCGTTCCACTACAACTAAGTTCCTCTCAAAACAAACCAACTTGTGGGTTGTCACAGGCACACAGTTCCAGGATAAATGGTAAATTCAGTGGTATTTCTACATTTAATATTATTTTCAGACCTTACAAACACATATTTGTTAAATATAGGCAATAAGTAAACATAATATTAAAAATTTGTGAGTATCTAGTGAGCATTATGATGTAAGACGCCTTTATCTCGACTTTCACAACATGAAACATTGTGATTCCCAATATCCCAATCGTGCTATCCAATCATCTGTGGCAGGGACCTGAAAGTTATAAAAAATTCAATGTATGGATCTAATCTCATTAAACAAGTAGAGCAAACTGTTGAAATGAGATAACAATAACCGTGATTCTCACTGCTGGTGAAAGAATTACAAATAACTGGCTAAGTAGGCTACAATAATCACAGTTTTTACTTTTTGTTTGAAATTTCATAAACTGTTTTTATTTTATTTTTATCTCGAAATAATCTACTTATTGGTTAAATGACACTCTAATGAGGGACAATTAAAAAAATGAATGCCTTAAAGATGCTTTATAATATGACCATTTTATCCATCAGCATTTCCAAAATGTATCTTTTTATAAAATAGAGATATCGAACCTCTGTATGTGTCTACAGAGGAGTACATTTCACTGTACTTTTTTTTTCCGCCTACAGTTATGACTGGACTAGATTTTTTTTGGCTTTCTTTTTCATAAAAGAAGCTGTCAGCACTCTGTGTGAAACTTGTTAAACTTGATCCATGCATTGCCATGTCCCACAGAGCTTGGGTTATGCTTCTGCAATTGGATTTTATAGCGATCAAATAGTGTGACAGTCATTCTCCGAACAAGGTCAATCAGAATTGCAAGGACTCTGAATGTGCAAGACTTTGCAAAGTTATTTCTTCACGGGAATAAAATATTACATTTGCCTGCATATAATAAATGAGTGAAATCCCTTGTTACATATATGAGAAGATACAGAAAGAAATGGCATCCTGCAGGATGTGCTTGAATGGAATCCAAATTCAGTGTGTTTGCTAGTTGACGGGTTTTATTCTGAATGCAATGAGATAAAGTGATTTTCTGAAGATCACAACAAGCACTGAGCTCTGATTACCTTTATCAGCCATAGAAGCTACCCTATTACTTGAGCAATCATTTCACCAATGCATTAAGAAATGCCATTATCTCCAAAGAGCAAATTTTCTATCAGATGAGAATGAACTGATTAGACACTACTGAAACTAAGCAGGATTTACGTAACTCTGATACATTTCACAAGGGACTATCGCTTGAAGAATCAAAACAAACACTGGGACAATTGTGTGAAGAACTAACTTGATATCATAGAAATGGGCCATGCGTATGGATTTTAAATTTGAGATTCCATCTCTGGTACCACCACTGGTAGGCCAATCACTGAATAGACCTCCCCTTTTCAGTAGTATCCATTTTACAGGTGAGATGACCCCACTGTCGCTTAACAATACTTTGCTTCATTGTCCTGTGTGCTCTGTAATAGACTTTGCTTCTTGATTTTATTAAAACATATTATTTGAACAGTTTCCCTCAGTACTGCTTTAGAAGGCTCCTAATAACAAAACATGCATATTCCAAATAAAGTCTTATTGCCTTGTTGCAACCACAGCTCCTGTCACAGTGAATTGTAAATTTATGGTAACTGCATTGCAGCATTTTGTAATATTCAGTCTATTGGTTTTATATACACATCTCTGAAATCTTCATCCCCCATTCATTAAGAAAGTGAATTTTGATGAAAGAAGAATTGGGGACTAGAGTTGAGTGGACACCTGGATGTTCAGGTCCGGCGGGTTCGGCCGAACTTTGAAAAAAGTCAATGGGGACCCGAACTTTTGGCCACAAAAAATGCCTCTAAAAAAGTCCAGGAAAGGGCTAGAGGGCTGCAAATGGAAGTAAAATGGGGGTAAGAGTAGGACAAGTGCCCTGCAAACAAATGTGGATAGGGAAATCACTTAAAAAAACATAAAAATTAAAAATACAGCTGAGCCATAAAATAGCACTAGATGGAATCTTTGATTTTAGCTTTGAAAGAACATAAATCAAAATCTAAAGCATGGCTGTCAGGAGGATCAACATAATTATCCATTTGAGAGAGGGTTGGAGTGCAGGGTATTCTCTTTCATTGTTCAAACTGAGCTCAATTCCTGATGCATGGAGAAAAGGCCTTCTCAAGCTATTGTGTACATAGTTTATACTAAGTGATCCATAGGTTGAGGAGGCGGTGACCGTGGCGGTGTAGGTGGAAGCAGCGGTGGAGGAGGAGGAGGTAGCCAAAACTGTTTTTTATATATATATATTTTTTATTTTAATTGGGGTAGCCCCCAAAATATTGGGACATATAAAAAAGAAACATTTGCGCCCTATGGTGCATTTCTTGCAGTCCTGATGCATGGAGAAATGCTCAACTCCTGATGCATGGAGAAAAGGCCTTCACTATTGTGTACATACTAGTTTATACTAAGTGACACATAGGTTGATATAGGTTGAGAAGGCGGTGTAGGTGGAAGCGGCGGTGGAGGAGGAGGAGGTAGCCAACACAGTTTTTTATATATATATATATTTTGTTTTAATTGGGGTAGCCCCCAAAATATTGGGACATATAAAAAAAAAAATTCTGTTCCGCAGAGTGACTGACCCGTGCATGCTGCAGCTGAAACTCCACTATCGCCTGCTGCTGCTCACACAGTCTCATGAGGGGGTGAGTGGGAAGGCCAAAGTTCCGCTGCAGCGCAGACAGGCGAGCAGCAGCAGTGTGAGGATGCCGAAAGTGTGCACAGATGGCACGCACTTTCTGCAGCAGCTCTGATATATCTGGGTATACACCGTGGCGGTGTAGGTGGAAGCAGCGGTGGAGGAGGTAGCCAACACTGTTTTGTTTTTTTTTTAATTCGGGTAGACCCCAAAATATTGGGACATATAAAAAAAGAAAAGTATAAGAATGGCTGGGTGAGGCCGATATAAATGTCTATTCTGCACAAGGTACAGAGAAGTCTGGTGGGATCCATGCCTGGTTCATTTTAATAAGCGTGAGCTTGTCCACGTTGGCTGTGGACAGGCGGCTGCGCTTGTCTGTGATAACGCCCCCTGCCGTTCAGACAATACACGTTCAGACAATACACTGGCTGCAGGGCAGGCCAGCACCTCCATGGCATAAAGGGCAAACTCAGGCCAAGTGCCCAATTTGGAGACCCAGAAGTTGAATGGGGCAGACCCATCAGTCAGTACGTGTAGGCGTGTGCACACGTACTGTTCCACCATGTTGCTGAAATGCTACCTCCTGCTAAGACATTCCATATTAGCTGTTGGTGCTGGTTGTTGTGGCGTACTGACAAAACTTTTCCACATTTCGGCCATGCTAACCCTGCCTTCTGAGGTGCTGGTGGTGCCCCAGCTGTGTTGGCGACCTCTTCCTCCTCTTCTGCCTTTGCCTTGTGCTTCCACTGAGCCCCCGGTGTCAGTTGGGAATGCCCTCAGCAGCGCGTCTACCAGCGTGCGCTTGCAGTTGCGCATCTTCCGATCACGCTCCAGTGAGGGAATTAAGGACGGCATGTTGTCTTTGTAACAGGGATCAAGCAGGGTGGCTACCCAGTAATCAGCACAAGTTAGAATGTGGACAACTTGGCAGTCGTTGCGCAGGCACTGAAGCATGTAGTCGCTCATGTGTGCCAGGCTGCCCAGAGGCAAGGACAAGCTGTCCTCTGTGGGAGGTGTATCATCTGTGTCCTCCGTATCCCCCCAGCCATGTGCCAGTGATGCCCACGAGCTGTGTTGGGTGCCACCCTGCTGTGAACATGGTTCCTCATCCTCATCCTCATCATCCTCCTCCTCATCCTCATCCTTCAGAACTGTGCCCTGGCTGGACAATTGTGTACCTGGCCTATGCTGGTGCAGGAACCCACCCTCCAAGCCACTTGTGAATGACTGGCCTGATAACCGTGGAAATTACCCCTCTTCCTCCTCCTCTTCCTCCTGTGCCACATCCTCTTCCATCATCGCCCGAAGCGTTTTTTCAAGGAGGCATAGAAGCGGGATAGTAAGGCTGAGAACGGTGTCATCGGCACTGGCCATGTTGGTGGAGTACTCGAAACAGTGCAAAATGGCACACAGGTCTCACATGGAGGCCCACTCATTGGTGGTGAAGTGGTACTGTTCCGCAGAGCGACTGACCCGTGCGTGCTGCATCTGAAACTCCACTATCGCCTCCTGCTGCTCGCACAGTCTCTCCAGCATGTGCGAGGTGGAGTTCCACCTTGTGGGCACGTCACATATGAGGCAGTGAGCGGGAAGGCCAAAGTTACGCTGCAGCACAGACAGGTGAGCAGCAGCAGGGTGAGAATGCCGAAAGCACGCACAGACGGCCCGCACTTTCTGCAGCAGCTCTGATATATCTGCGTAGTTTTTCAGGAATTTTTGCACCGCCAAATTCAGCACATGCAACAGGCAAGGAATGTGCGGCAAACCGGCTAGGCCCAGAGCTGCTACAAGATTTCGCCCATTATCGCACACCACCAGGCCGGGCTTGAGGCTATTGTTCCATGCCCGTCCACAGCTCCTGTGCAGAGTGGGTTTTTTCCCCCCAAACATATGAGTTTTAAAACAGCCTGCTGTCATTTCCCCCTAGCTGTGCTGAAGTTGGTGGTGAAGGTGTTACGCTGCCTGGATGAGGTGGTGGTAGAGGAGGAGGAAGCGCAAAGAGAAATGCCCTGCAATCCTCGGTGGCGGAAGGACATGCGCCAAACTGCTATCCGCCTCAGGCACAGCCGCCACTCCATTTGCCCAGCGTGCAGTTAGGGAGATGTAGCGTCCCTGCCCATGCTTACTAGTCAACGTATCTGTGGTTATGTGGACCTTGCCATAGATGGAGTTGCACAGTGCAC